AAGCCAAACTAAGTGTTAGCTGGTATAAATTGAAGGGAAAGAAATCCCTGCCTAGACACTTTCTACTGAAACTACAGAATACTAAGGAAAAAAGAAAAATTTTACTCTTTTTTTTTTTTTTTTTTTTTACATAGAGACGGGGTCTCATTATGTTGCCCAGGTTGTTCTCAAACTCCTGGGCTGGCAATCTAAAATTCTATCCCCACCAAAACTATCATTTACGAATTTCAAAGCAAAGATGTTTGCCACAGGCCACTGGCCAAATCTGGCTTACTGACTGCTTTTGTGAATGAAGTGTAATAGATGACAGTCATGTTTACATTGTCTGTAGTGACTTTCCAGGCAGAGTAGTCACAACAGACACCATATAGCCCACAAAGCCATTTTTTAAAACTATTTATGAAATAGTAGAGTAGCAGAATAGTAAAATATTTAGTGGTAAAATACTTATTATTTACAGAAAATGATTGCTGATCTCTGCTTTTATGGGACTCAATGTTGATGTGTGTATTTGTTTGTTCAGCATGTACTTGATAAACATCCTCTATCATAGAGGATGATAAACACCCTCTATGTGCCAGACCCAACATACAGTGAGATGAAGAAAGTTAGGTGTCTGATCTCAGAAGACTGACACCTTTTGAAGTGTTCGCCTAGAAAGCTGGTCCACTTTTCTGCAAGATAGTGTTGAGAAGAATGACACAGGTAGAGTAGTGTCTAAAAGTAGCCAAACAGAGATTCTGCCTCAAGTCAGCTGACCCTTAGTTCTCCTCTGCCTTAAGTCAACTGACCCTGTTTCAAATAATGAGCTTGTTTAAGCCTGCCCATTTCAGGCATGTGAGATGGTTCAAAGGTCACAGGGTTAGCTTTGGCTCCCTGTGTCATGAACATGGTCATGTATTCCTCACTGCTCTCACTTTTGGTTCATATCTTCCCTCCTCCCATGGGCTCTGCCTCCCACCAGCTGTCACTGAGTTCCAAGTTCCCGGACTCTCCCTGAGCATGGTGCCCTGCTGCTTCCTTCTCCAACGCATTGCTCAAAGGCAAAGCTCCCCGCTTTCCTGGGATGTCCTCCTGCATTGTTTGGCTTGGTTGACTCTTACCTCCTCCAGGAAGTCTTCCTGCCACTCCCAGACTTGGCCAGCACCCCTTCTCTTGATACAGTTCCATTTCATCTTGTTACACATTGACTTACAACCTGTCTATCAAGTACCTTCTATTTATGGGGTGGTGTGTTAGATACTTATCTCTGTGTCCTCCACCTTCACCCCCTTCCTACAGATGGGATTCATTCCAAACCAAAATAACCAGAGGTGACATTTGCTATGCAATTTAAAGTGGAGGATGAGATAGAGACCCTTTTCGTGGGTGTCCTTTCATGAGACAAGCAAAAAGGAAGCCCATGAGTAGGTCCTACAGATTACCCTACAGACAGTGCTACCCCCCGACCGCAAGTCTGGACTTGTCGAGAAGGCTGAGTCAATACATGGACCAACTTCATCCTCCTGGTTCTTGCCCATCATAGATATAAACAGGAATTTACATAAGGTATCCTCATGATGGAAGGGCAGTTCAAAGGATGATGGAGGAAGGGAAGGGACGGGGGAAGGGAGCAGGTTCAAGTTCACTGGATGCCCTCCCCAGTCTCATGGGGTTGTTTTTCTCCACCATGAATTCCTAACACCTCTACCTCCTCCACTGATCACTCATTGTCATTGTCTCTTGTCATTTACTCACTACATCATTCTGGAATGCTGGAAGGGTTAATGAGGCACATCTGGCAGAAGGGTGATTATGTTCATTCACTCTGGTCCCTGACAATTACTAATTTTCACAATTTTCCTATACCAAATACCACCTAGATTTCAACAATTCTGTAAATTTTTGCCAGCAGAGGAAAGAGAAATTGCATATTCAGTGACATAAGGACTTAAGTGGATTTATAATGGTCTCAATAATAAGTAACTTGGTTTGGTTTAGGCTTTGAAATACTTAAGAATTCACATATGAGAATTTTGGGATCTGGAGAACATGTCTTTCAAGTGAAGAAAATTAACTATCCTGACAATTTTTGTAAATCAGAGTGTATTAGTTTGAGGCACATTCTAAATTCAAAGATATGCTTCCATAAAAAACTTCAGTAAAAAAAAAAGAAGAAGAAGAGGAAGAAGCTGGTGGCTAGCTCAGGGCAAAGTCTGAAGAGTTGAAGACTTGAACTCTCAGTAAAGCCATGAGGTACCATTTTATGAATGAGGAAACTGAGTCTGAGAGACTTTAATGCTGGTCCCCCTAAAGCTGTTGGCAGCAAAGTGAAGTCTCCAAACCCAGCAGCTCTTTTTTCTGGGCTTCGTGGGCAGGTAACCTGGGCAGGTGAATGGGGCCCCATGCTCAGAAGGGCCTCTCACAGTTGAATGCTCCTGCTGTCTATGTTTGAAATTCTTACTCCTTTTGAGCCAAGGGCCCTGTGCTTTCTGTAGCTGGTCCTGCTCGCAAGTCTGCAGACTACCCCACTGTTCCTTACCCAGAAAATTCTGCCAGTGTGGGCCTCAGATTGCTCACAGCTCCAGGAAGTCCTCAACTGTCTTTTCTTGCTCTAGGCCTCTGTAGTACCTGGGATGCCAGACCCAGCTGGTAGCTCGAGCAAACACAGGTAGCCCCTGCTATGTGCTGCTTCACACCCTGCAGAATAAATTAGTACCCACCTCTCTCAATCCATCAAAGTCAAAACTCTCCAAAATGAGCTTAATTAACACAAGAGGCTCTTGAGTTTTCTCAGATTAGACAGTACTCAAATCTATACCAAATGCTGCGTTAATCTTTGCTCTTTAGCAGGGCCTCTGTCTCAGTCCTATTTCCTGCCTCTGATGAGTTCCAATCCTTGATTTGAGAGGAGGGTGGGTAGGGTAGAGAAGGAAGAGAAAGAAAGAAAATGAAGCTAACCCCACTTCTTCCTTACATCCCCAGTCCCCAAGGATATCTTACAAGCCTTAAGGTTTAGAAATGTGGCAATTGTGGTCACTGCTACTATTCTTAAGAACTCTGAGCCACAACTTAAGCGTTCTGTCCCTGAAATCCCAGGCGGTGTCAACATCTCCTGCCAGAAGAAACACTTTGCATTGTAGGAAGGCCCAGTACTGCTGGAGAAGGAACCAGCTCTCTCCCTAAATTTCTCTCTTTCTGACTGCTGGGAATGTTTTATCTTCTTGGGATGGTCCCCAAGCCCTACTCCTTCCTTAATATTCAGGCAGCACCTCATCTTGCTCCATAATTGACTTTAGATAGATTCTACTTCCCGAACCATAACTCCCTCTCATCCTCTCCAGAGGTCCATGAAAAGTGGATGATGTGTAACCAAGCACATAACAACAGCAAGGAAAAAACCCACAAATCAGAGCAAAATTTTAGGGTTTTTATTATGCATTTGACAGTTAGTATTTTTTGAGTGTTCAAGCAACGAATGAATTTTTCTCCGAGATACCATCATGCCATGGTGCCAAACACCACATGTGTTTTAAAAAACGTAACTCAAGCTCTAAAGAATATGAATTTGGATTCAGAGCACAATTTAAAATCTATATCTATCTATCTACATCTCTATCCGTCTGTCTAGCTATATATATATATACAATGACTTTACTTTGAACAGATCCACATAAAGGACTTGAAGTTGAGAATAGTTTCACAATAAATAATTGCTTCTCTAAACTGTACAAAATCCTACCAGCAAGTCATTCACACTCATTTCCTCACGATAGATATTCACTTTTACATATGTAATAACTTATGAAATACTCATAGAGAATTTAACATTTGGTCAAGGCCAACACTTCGCCATGCACCATCTTAAACTTCTCCATACAGTACCCCTGCCATGCACTCAGATGGGGAGGCGGGTAGCCTCTCCCCTGTGTAGATGACTTGACACGTCTCCACATACCCAGTAAGCCCAGCTCAGCGGGAAAAGTGCAGCTGAAAAAGATTTTGAAATGTCAGGTATTACAATTCTCAGTTGCTGCCAATTATATAGATAAATAGGAATTTACATAATTTACAAAGAATTTGTGTTCATGGCTTATTTTGAGGCCATTCCCCAAAGATCCACATTTATTCATGAAAGCAATTTTCAACCTAATAGCCTTAATCTGGTGCTGTCTTTACAGCCAGTTTCCTGTGAACAAGGCCTGGGAAGTCTATTGAGCACCAGCCTGTTGCCTACAAGGGACACAGATGGTCAGTCAATTGAACAAGAATAGACTCTATGTTGCAGATATTAACTTTCTCCCCTTCTTGTTATAAATATCAAGGTTTATTTTTTCTTCTTTTTTTGAGATACATTCTTTTGGTGGGTACCAGGCATAGCTGAAAATTTCTCTAAGTCCTATAAGCTTCAGACTCATAAACTCCTGTACAGCTATTAGCCGTGTCTAAAGCCAATGCCTCCTGGTCCTCACTAACTCACACTGTGTGGCCCATGGTAGGCCGGAATATGAAAGTTGCCTGCTCTTGCCACACGGGCCTTTTCATTTATTACAAGGTGAGCATGTGTTTATATTTGCAAAGAGTTAGCTCGGAGTCCACTTATTCTACAAGAGAAGTCATGTCAAAGGCCAGTAGTGGCTTTCCAACTCAACATACCTCTACAAAAACAATTCCCTACATGAAACTGGAGCCATGGGCGTCACGTCCCAGTCACATCTGGGATCATTTTACCCATTAGAAAAATGGGCCACTTGGATCTGGGCATTCTTGGAGTAGGGGGGCATTGTTAAGTGGGGACTCTTTTGGTGGGTTTTCTGCCTCAGGCAAATTCACTCCTTGTCCTTAAAGAGGTGGAAATTTGAGCTGTGTACGATGATGACCGAAGCCAGCGAGAACAGGATGCTCTCTGGTCATCACAGGCCCATTCTCCCGAGGGGCTCCTTCCAGAAAGAGACAGAGGGGCAGGCAGGTGGAGTGAAGGCGGAGTCCACTGCTGGGCATGAGCTCTGGATGGTGGAGGGCTAAAGTCTACTTGCTGTGTCTGTCCTTGACTTCAGCCTATCTTGGGAAAGGGGTAAAAGACAAAAAGAGGCAGGTCATGAGGGAATCACTCTGGGAAGCTGAAAGAGGTGACTTTCCACCACATCTGTAGCCTGTTCCAGGGTTTGAACCATACAGCCCCTCTCACCAGTGTTTCTCAGCAATTTCAGCAACTACTAGCCGACCAGGAAGGTGTGAAATGACTAGTACCTGTAGAGGTGGCCGCCAGGAGGCTACCTGCAGTCTGGCCCCATCTTTGATTGTCACATACTAAGGATGACAATGCTAATGGTGTCTCTGAGAATGTGCATCTGGGAATTACTGACTTGAATCTTGCAGGAAAGCAAGGACCATGACTTCCTAAAAGACTTTCTCTTCCCAAGTAAAGCTTTTTACAAGAGCTTTACACAAATCGTAGCAGCCTGGAAGAAACGTTCCAGGCTCCAGTGCCACACCCTTGCCACCAATCTCATCTTTTGAAAATGTAACACTGAACAATAATAATAATAATAATCACACTAGCAAAAGCATCTGTGTGCTGTTCCTGTGCACAGCCCCCTTGGCGGCTATTCCCTGAACATACCCCAGGGCCTTTGCACTTACTGTTTCCCCTACCTGCGATACCCACCCTCACTCATCCCTATGGCTCCTCTGTCACTTCCTCCAGGTCACCTGGCCAGAGAGACTGTCCCTGACCATCCAGTCTCAAACTGCAACCATCTCAACATTTCCCACCCCTGCCATGCTTTTTTGCCCTCCTTCACTCTGTATTTCACGTATGTGTTTGCTGTCTGTGTCCCCCACTATTTAAGCTCCATAAAAGAGACCTTTGCCTCATTCCCTGCTGTGTCCCCAACATCTAGAACAGGGCCCAGCCGGCAGCAGGTGCTCAACAATTCTTTGCTGAACAAATGCATAAGTGAATGAATAAGTGATGCAATGGATGGATGGGTTTAATCACATCCCGCCCTCGCTGAGAGGAGCTTTGTTTTGGGGTGAGGAAGAGAGAAAGAGGAAAAGGAACAAAGAGGAAAAGTAGGGACCAGCTGGGGTCTGACTCATGTTCCCCGGGCTCCCTCCCTGCCGACTCGGTCGCCTCCTCCTTCTCCGCGTCTATTATAGATGCTGACAGATCCCCCTCCGGACCCCTGGAAGCGATCTGCCACCAATTTGGAAAGCCTCCTGTATTCTGAGCCTTGTTTCATCTTCCCTTGATCAGTCCCTGTAGGAAGCCAAGCCACCTCCAGGCCATTATTATGAACATAAATTACCATCCCATTGCAGATGTGCCGGCGAGTCATTAATAATGATTTCTGATTGATAGAATGACAAATAAACCCAGCCTGGCTGCAGGACACCCTCAGGATCTCTCATACAAAAAAGACAAGCGGGTTAAAAATAATAATAAAATGAACCGGGGAACCTGAGAGAGCCTGCTGCCAGGCTGCCCTAATTCACCTCTGCCCAGAATCAGGTACTCAAAAGAAATGATTTTTTGAGGGTAGAGACCACATGTTGTTAGGGAGGCAGAGGCGAAATGGGGACCCAGGTAGACCACCCTGCAGGGGCTCTGAGAAGCACTGCATGGCTGCCTTCATCCAGGCCCAGTGAAATCCAGGCTGGACTTCACTGTCCCAGACCCATGAGAGATACTGGGGCCAGCTTCTAGGACACAGTGGGCTGACCAGGGCCTGGAAAGTGGTAGTGACTATCCCCAGCCTCAGCCTGCTATGCCCCTGGAGACAGTCAACCAAAGGGCACCACTGCCAATGGGTGCAGCACTCCCTGAGCACTGAGGTTCCCACTGGACCAGACCAGATGCTACCCACTCCAAACACCCCTAACCCATGAATGAGTGATGCATCACATCTTTACCTCCTTTGACGCAGGCCTCGGGTGGGCCCTCTTGCCTTCTCTTCCTCTTCTTTGTCTGGTTTTTCTGCTGTCCTTGAATTACTGTGGGGAGAGAGCTGGTTTTAATGAATCAACCTGCATTTCCATTTGACTGGTTTTTTGGTGTCAAATTATGACTTCCTCTTCCCCACCAACGAGCACATTAGTGTGTTCCCCAAGGACCGCGTCTCAGGCAGAGTTTCTGAAGGCTGAGCGCTCGGTGGGTGGATTGCTACCAAAGTACAGCGTATACTCACTACTCAGTTATTCATTGGATATTAAAAAGACCCGAAGGGGAGAAAAACATGCAGTTAACACTGGGTTTTCCAGACGGCAGATCCTCGGGTCCTGACTGCCACGGCACATGCCTTGCTGAGGGCTCCCCCTCTGTCTATGTTTCTGCTGTGAGCACAGGGGCCGTCCACCCATGCTTGCTCCAGCAGGCTTCCAAAAGGGCTGCTCTGCCTGGCTGGGTTGAGGAATCTTGGCCCAAAATTAAGAAAAAGAGGAGTGCAGATGGCTGGGCAGGGTGGCTCACACCTGCAAACCCAGCACTTTGGGAGGCTATGGTGGAAGGATTGCTTGAACCCAGTAGTCTGAGACTAGCCAGGGAAACATAGTGAGACCTCATCTCTATAAAAAAATCAAAGTATTAGCTAGGCGTGGTGGCACATTCTTGTCGTCCCAGCTATTGGGGAGACTGAGGCGTAAAGATTGCCTGAGCCCAGGAGGTCAAGGCGATGGTGAGCCATGATTGTGCCACTGCACTCCAGCCTGGGTGACAGAATGAGACTCCAACTCAAACAACACAAAACAGAGGCGTGAGGTATACCTGCTCAATGAATCAGTGAATGCAGGCTGAAATGACACCCTGGTCAAATCCAGGGTCTGCTCATTCATTCCATTAGACACAATGTATAAGCTGCTCTAAAGCATCTGGAGCAGACCACAGGGTCTCAAACTCAGGGGCCTCAGGGGGCCACAAAGTAAGATAAATGAACAACACGGGTGAATGGGTATTGCATGTTCCACTCAAATGTGAGCGGGCCCCCACTCCATTCCAGGCTATAGTGACAGGGGTGAGGGGAACGGAGGGCAGAGAGACCAGAGGGTCCTGCAGCTGTTTATGAAGAGGCTAAAAATAGGCATTTGTCCTGTTAATTCTTCAATCTTTAAATGTTGGCAACTTATTCAGATTCTTATAAAGGGCTGCACAAACCAGAAGAAACATGTCTGGAGACCTGGCATGGCCATGGTCACAGTATGGCCTGTATTCTAAAAGGCAGCAAGGGACCGGGGGTAGGGTGGGGTGGGGACACCACCCACCCTCCTGGAGCTGAGCCTGAATCTTCTTGGGCTCAGCGCCTTGTTTTCCTGGTCCTCATGTCGGTCAGGACATGGCTGAGCTACCCTACACCGCCTTCCAGAAGCCTCTCGCCTGACCTTGCCCAAGGGAGATTTGTGTCTGCAAATGCATAGAACTAGTGGAACTGTTGTGTCATACCTGCTGACATCCAGGGTCTGGGTGCAGAAGCGCAGGCAGGCCTTGTCATCTCTCCCCACACAAGTGCAGCGCAAGTGTGTCCACTTTGAGGGCTGAGGGCCCCCCGCAAATGGCCCCACGGCCCTCTTGCCCCGGAAGCTTCCTCTGTAGTTAGACAGTCCCAGTCCATAGGGCACAGTTCGTCTGCAAAGCACAGAGTGATGTCAGGTGAGCAGGCACAGCTGCCCTGCTAGGGGGCTCTCATGGGTGAGGGGCAAGAACTGGAAACTCTCAGGAACGAGTGTTCACATCCACCCTCTCTGCAGCCCCAGGTCTTAGGCAGGCTCTGAAGTGAACTGTGCACCCCTTGTTTCTTCTTAACTCCCTGGAAGTGAGTTGGGGCCAAGGGCATCAGAAGACTGAGGGCATTGGAAGAAGCTTGCAACTGGCAGCAGCCAGCATGAGTGCATGCATGCAGGGGACCTCAGCATCAGCCAGGTGCAGGCTGCATGTGAGACCCATATGCCCAGGGCTCAGAGGTTCACCTGCGTACATGCGTGGACTTTCAGTCTCATCAAGGCCAACCCACGGCAGGCCTAGACTTCTCCAGAGCCATGTTTTATTCCTCAGTGGAAAGCTGAGAAATAATCAAGCAAAACCAGAGCACCCTATCCAGAGGTTTTTCTTCCTGATTAGGACATATGGGTTGACCCACAAGCTGGTCTGGGTCTTCGTCCTCACAAGACTTCCCACCTACCCTGGTGGCCTGAGCGTCCCTGGCAACTCTGTCTTGAACTGAGTGTGCCCATGTGCACAGCAGTCCTTGCAGTTTGTACTAATGAGAATACGACAAATGCAATTAGGGTCATTAGAGAGGCATCCCAGTGTCTCCTGGCCTCTGAAAGTCACTTTCTCAAAGAGACAAACACCAGAAGGAACTTCCATGCCCTCTGAGAGGCGTTGCGGGGCGGGGAGGGATAGACGATGGTTGGCAATAGAGTTGAGACTGTTGCTGGCCTCAGGAAATGTCTGACGACGAAGGAGACGTCTGAAACTGTTTACCCATTTTATTTACGGTTGGTGTTGGCAGAAGGAAGGTGATGGTGTTGTTCAGTGCAAGGCATGTTAAATCTGGTCCTGATGTGTGTGCAGGGCCAAACCCTCACTCTCCAGAGAAGGGAGGAGCCTGCCAGGCACTCAGTGGGAAGAAGTTAAAAGCAGATGCTTAACTCATTAGTTCTATTGAACTTGATTTGAGGGACAAATTGCTAGTAACTAAAGGAAACTTATGTGGCCAAAACTACTTTTCCAATAAGGGCTGGTTTTCCTGCTAGTCCCCAAAGATGAACCACCTTGGTTTCTAAGAAGCCAGTGGAACAGCACCAATTATTCACCTCAAAGGGAGTCCTGACAGTCTCCCTGTGTTTTCAACATAAAATCAAATTGAATTTCTTCTCATTTTAAACACATTCTATGGAGCCCTTTTGAGGTGGTGAGGGCAATCTGGGCAGGTACCCCACAGTGACCTGCCCTCCCCATGGGGCTGACTCCACCCTGTTCTTCTACTCTGCTTCTTCTCCCTGCCCAAGTTCATTGAGAAATAGCATCATGGGGGGTTCCCTCCTGGCAGAGGTTGGCCAACTGTTGAGCAGTCAATACTCATGAAACACAGAAAGAGAGCCAGGCCCAGCTCTGCTTATACCTGACCCTTTTTCTCAAACTCCTGTTTTTCTTGTGGATGAAAAATGGTGGGGGACGGGAGCAAGACAATGCAGATGTTGTTGTGGGGCAGGAATTGGCTAAAGGTATATTTTTCCAGTAATAGGGCCATATGAAATCTCTAAGTGTTGACATTAAATCCAGTCCCCCATTTCTTGGTGAAAATTATACACTAGGAATAACAATGCTCCCATTTTTCCATCAGCAGCGAGACCTGCAATTTTGAAACTGCTGTCAGCTGACTATGCATTTGTGTGTGTAGAACCACTCAACTCGAGCAAAAACACTCAAGTGTTTTAAGTAAGCAAACAAGGCAGTGCAGTATTTGTTAATAGAGGTGTGCGCTCAGTGCTCTTCCAGCAAAAGTGCTAGTATGACAATGAGCCCTGGCAGCTTTAGAGAGTGTTTACGGAGAGGCAAAGCCCCCTCCCTTTCCCCACGGTCTTGAGGACTAGAAACCCCCTCCCCAAACCCTGGGCTTGCCGGGTGGCCTGGGGCCTGCAGACTTCTGGGATGTGACCCAGAGCTCAGCAGGAACCACCTCTAACATTATAGAGTCTAGAACAAGAGATCAAAATCAAGGCCCACCTCCCATAGGGCTAACATTTTAAAGGTTTAAATCAATCTGGTAGGCTTTTAAATAAAAGAGTTCTACTCTTCCACTTGGACGAATGTGGCTTCAAAAGTCCTTGGAAACCTGGCTTTCAATGTACAATTCAAGGGCTTCATGGAGTTTCACAGTGGAATGTGGGGCCCAAGGAGATTTGGTACTTTCTTTTCTATCCTGCTCCATCCCACACCAAGGGAAGCCACTCCCATGTAGATGCCCTAGGCTGCACCCCAAGCCTCCTTCTGCCCCCATCCTGCAAGCAGCTGCCACCCTACAGACCTGGGGATATATACCCAGAGCCCTGTTCTGTCCCTGAGGGTCAGACCATTCACAGGCCCTGACAGTGGGCTTGGAGATATATGAGTAGAACATTCCAGGGCCCTAAATGCCGGGAACATGGCATAGAAGTGGGTGTATGTGGCTTTTGGCCCCATACACTCTTGCAATGAGGTGGAAGGCATGGCCAGAGGAGGGTCAGAGATAGTCCTCTAATCCACAGGGCCCACAACAGGTGTGTTTCAGATCCAGATCTAAGAGTGTATTGCCTCAAGAGTAGAGGCAAGGTCTTCTATATGTATTTAGTTTTAATTTTTATATTAAAGATGTGGGGTACAATTCAGGGCCAGGTACATAAGTAGTCATCATGCAGGTAAAGTTTGGGCACCCTTATTGATGTCATGTGCCCTCCCCCCGGCCGTGTCTCATTACTGCTAATCCCTTTCTTATAGTATTAGATAAATGATCAGGGTTTGCTTATGGAGGAAGGACTCCTATTGGTGTTTTAACTCCATGGATCTAGCACAAGACTGGGAAAATAGACAGTTGATTGAGCAACTGTAGTTAATTGTGAGATCATTCTAGTCTGGCAAGACTAAATTCCTTCCACTCTAAAGAGTTCAGTAACCACTAAAACTACTACAAAGAATCTCCAACATTTGTTAAACATCTACTCTATATCAAGTATCAGTTTCATAGGAATACAGAGAGACCTATGTGTGTCCATACCTTCAGGAGTTTACATGCCATGGGACTATGAAAACAGGTAAAGGGAAAATGACAAGCCAACATACACAGGAATGTGCAAGGTACACAGAGCACAAAGAGATTGCCTGGTAATACTGTTATTATGCTGTAAAGTACTTACATGATGATCATTTCACCCTTGTCAACATCTTCCTGATCGACAAAAAGGTGGTTGGACAAATCAAATGAGATACTGCGTGGAAAGCACTTAGCAAAGAGTTAGCCATAAATAAACAGTAGCTACTGGTGTTATTTATATGATCTGGGAAGTCAAGTGAATTATATCTGGCAGAAAAGTCCCCTCTTCCAGGCCTACAATTGAGATGTGTGACTAAGCAATAAAGTGAACTAGTAAGAACCCAAAGACCAAAAGCACAGCCAGGCCATTCTTTGCTAGGTCTACCGTCCAATGCCACCTCCACCTATCTAATCAGCCCTGGTGTTCCATTCGCACTGTGCTCTGTCACAAGCTGTTTCCTGAACAGTGAACGAGAAAGACCTAATGGTAGAACCATGAAGTTGAAGTTAGACTGAGAACCTTTGATTAGTATGCCCTGCGCAATTGTTTTAGCCTACTGTTCTACAAAGGGGTTTAAGAAACACAGTTCTATATAAAAGCAGGCACCTCACCTCTTCCATCTGTTAATGTTTCAGGTACAACACAGAGCTCCATGCAAAAGAGAAGCAAATGAGATTTATCCAATACTCTTTAAAAATGCCCCTGGCATACCTACACTTGCAGTCTCTGGGGTTGTGTGTGTTTGTGTAATAAATGATCCCTTGATTTACATATTCAGAACATTCATTATTTGATGGATGTGGTGATGTCAGAGACTTATTTATTATAGAGTTCCTCATTTGTAACATTTTCCCATATGTCATATATGAGGGGGACCAAAAAAATCAGAATTGTTTTTTGAAGGGCAGGTCCCTTGTAGTACAGGCTTCCCATACTAGGTAAATGTTCTAGAAACCCATTGGCATCTATGGTACAAGCTATCATTGTTGTGAGAGGCTGCATTCAGCTTCAGTGAATTTTTTCTTTTTGGTGATTCTTTCAATACATTTGTCCATTTCATGATGGGTGATTTACAAGTGCACCTGCCCATACCACAGAGTGTTCAGCCATTTTAGACCCCAAAGAGCATGATCCCCATGCCTTACTCTCCCTATTCACCCAGTCTCACCCCGAGTGACTATTTTTGGTTTCCCTGGATGAAAAAATTCCTCAAAGGGAAATGTTTTGCTGATGTGAAAAAGGTGGGAAAAAATGGCAGACGCACTAAAATACATCAAAATTGAAGAGTTCAAAAACTGTTTTGAGCAGTGGAAAAAGCATCCCAATAGGTGTATTGTACATGTTTAACACGTTAAGAAAACACAATTTTTGTAAGTAAATTCCAGGTTTTGGGGAGTCCCTTTTCATATAAATATTATTCAGTATGAACTTCCAGATCTTCCTTTGCAGCATCACACTGAAAGCACTTTAATTCCCTCTACAAGAATGTTTTAAATAAGAAAAGCTGGCTTTTAAAAAAGATTCTGTTTTTAAGTTCTGTGTTACCCTTTCATAGGCAAATTGATAATCTCCATCCTTCTGATCAGAAAATTGTCTCCTATACTTGATGTTCAAAGACGAGATACAGGAAACAACAAAAGGAGCTTCACTGACCACATTCTAAATTCTCAAGAAAGTTTGTCAAACTGTCATTCCCTACCCCCAAAACACAGTTTTTAATCTGTCCCCATCCCTACCCCCACTGGATAGCATTCAACAAATATTTGCTTAATGTATTTCAACATGCAGGCCCTAGACAAAACTCCAGGAGAATATCATGAACTAGACACACGA